AAATAGAAAATTATAAAAAAAAGACTGAAGGTAGATACGTCGTTTATTGTAATATGGAATAAATTTGAAAATAACTTTAACATAGTTTGAACATTGAAGCATCGCAAGAATAATCCTTAATATATCTAATTACTTAATTAATTACTTAATTACTTAATTATTTAGTGGGGAACGGAGAGAAATTGAAGGGTTGCAGAGAAATCGAAGTTTCTTGGAGGAAGCAAAATGTACGTCACCTTGTCCACGAGTTGTCATTTCGCGGTTTCGATATTAACGGAATATCTTCCTTCGACAGCCTTATAACATTGCTTTGTGTCTCCATTTAGATATTTCTTTATTACAAATCATATAAAGAAACACTGTTATTCAGTCTGTCGTTAAAAAAACACTGTCTAAAAAGTATTCCCGATGTTCAACACAATTCTGTTGTGACATCATAATATCCACGAAGCACGCACTTACAAGATGAATTCGCCCACCTACTACAGCGACTTGCATTACATTTTTTATTTACAATAGCAAAATATCCGTATTTTTTAAACGTTTCTCAGTAAAATTTATACAAAATCTACTTATATATTTATATTCGAATAAGTTAACTTGCTGTTTTCTTTCCTGACTAATTATACGTATAAGATTGTAATAGGTTCATTTATTAGAAAGAAATGCCATAATACGCATTGTCAATAAACAACGCAACAGCAACAATAACAATCACGAGGCTGATGTATCGTGCAATTAATAGACACGGACAGAATTTCTAAAAAATAGATTGTATGTTATGCAATTTACATTTTAACGAATATTGGACGAAGTAGTAAGTAGTACGCGTATCTTTTGAATGCACGTTATAAAAAAAACAAACATTCTCACGTATATTTTCAACAGCAAAAGACGTAGAAATTCTTTTGCATTCTTATTTGCAAAGATATTTCTTGATATTTTCAAAGTTGAATATTTATACGTATGTACGCGTCATCGTACGCCATTTCACATAGAATCACCGCAGCTGTGTGTTTGTGTTAGTTTTAGGGATTCGGCAAAGATCGATGAGACTCGGCATTGTACATATTATATTGGAAAGGGATTTTCAAGGAAAATTATTACTTGCCTACTCGTGGTTCGTTTATGCATTCAGAGCATTAATGCTGCTCATATTAATTCGATAGATGTTTATCGCTTGTTACGTTGGCTACCATTATAATTAGTATCCCATAAGTGAAATATTCTATCCTTTCGTTCGTTCGATTTTCTGTTCTAATTGGTAATGGAATATCGAATGTATCAACTTACCCGCAAAGACAATTTCTGAGGAATATGGAACAATCGTTGATTCGTCGCCTTCTCGATGTCAAAAGTCGTATACTATCTTCAGAAGGTTGAAGAAGATAGTCGGTTTCTTCGTCCATTTCAAAATCCCGCTCATCCGAGCTCAAACGCAATGGCATTTCTTCTATATTATTGTTGTTATTATTATCATTATCATTTTTATAATGTACTATATTTGTACCGCGTGTTTGTTCGCGCGTGTGTATATATATATGTATATACAGTAATACGTATATGTATATACATGTATGCATACATAGAGATAACGTTTGTTTTCGATGACGAAATATTCTACAGATAGTTTTCGCGTTTCTTACAACGATCCATTATCCGTGTCACATAATATTTAAGTATTGCACCATTTAAATATTCTATCGCGCGCATACAAATACGTACGTGTATTTTCTATCCCGTTGTATCTGATTTTCGGTTAGACAGTACGTGTCGTGAGTTTGAATAATTAGGATTCTA